TCCGCGTGGGGGCGCGGAGGCGGGAGGCAGGGTGGGCGACCTGGTGGCGGCTCGGCAGTATTTGTCCTTTTGTGTGAAGCAGTTTAATGTGAGGAGGGGGGAGGGGGCGTTCTAGATCCTTCGCGGAAGAGGGCTGTTCGGCGTTTCTTCCCGGTCCTACCAGCCTTGCACCACTGATAGCTTCGCTTATGCAAACGTGCACGAGGTGCAGAGGGAGCGGAGAGGAAGGTTAACCTGCGGGACAGCAGCTCTGGCTGCCCAGGTGTGTGGGTGGGTGGGAAGGTGAAGAAGATGAGGCAGGGCCGCCTGCCCGGCCCCTCATTCCCCCACCTCCTGAGGCTGGTTTTGACAGCTGCAGAGTGTTCCAGCGTCCAGGCCATGGCCCCCAATACAATACTGCGCGGAGGAGGCGACCCGCTAATGTTCTAGCCTCGATTTTACATCCTTTCTGCCTGCTGTCCTGGTCTGGATTTGGCTGTAGGATTATAGTAGTTTAGTAAAATGAGTTGGAAGTGTTTGGTAAAACTCTCCTTGAACCATCTGGACTCCTCTTGCTTTCCAGAGTGAGCCTCTTTATGACAGAGATAGGTAGGTAGGTAGATATCGCATAACGTTGCGGCTTTGTGCTCTTGAATTACTTTATTTTTTTTTCTAGAAACGTTTGCTCATCTTTTTCTCTTAGGGTTTTTAAAAATCATGCTCTATTTGTATTTATGACCCATTTTTCCAATCTTAATATTGTTCATTTTTATTGTTCTGTTCTTATCAGTCTTACCAGGTATTATTTTTTAAAGAACCAGTTTTGTGATTTTCCTATCTATATATTTTTTTTGTTTTCTATTTTATGGATTCTATCAATTCTTTTTTTTTTCTCCTTCTTTTGTTACTCTGTCATTTTCTTCCTAGTTATATGACTTGAAGGCTTAGCTTACTTGCTTTCAATTTTCTTCTTTTAAGAATAATTAATCTTAAGGCTATATGCATTTCTTTCTGGGTACTACTTTTCTGTGTCTCTCGGTTTTATCATGTAGTACTTCCATGTCTTTAGTTTTTTGGGTTGTTTTTTTTCTTTTAGAGAGAGAAGAAGGGAGAGGGAGAGAGAGAGAAACATTGATCAGTTGCCTCCCACACTAGCCCTGAGGAGGGATCAAACCCACAACCTAGGTATGTGCCCTGACCGGGAATTGAACCTGAAGTCTTGGTGTACAACACTCCAACCAACTGAGCCACCCAGCCAGGGCATTACTCCTACATTTTTAACATCCTCATAACTATACACTCTTTCAATGTTTACAGTAATCTAACATATCTATTCTCTTTTCAAACTCATAAAAACTTACACAAGACCCCAGGAGTGCTTTACCTGAGAAAACTTAGGGGGACATGAAAATGCTGTTCTGGAAAACTTGGATAGGTGGCTCAAGAAGTGATTGTTGTAGTGTGAAAACACTGGTGGAAGCGATTTGTGTGAAGTGTTTTAATAAAAAACGTCTATTTTTAAGAAAAATTATCGGGCACTTGGAAGAGGCCTGTATGTCCTTCAATGCAGTAAGGAAGCCAGGATTGTTTAATTCTGTAGGGGAATTTATCTGTGTTTGACTTTGCTATTTGCTATGAGTTAGAGCCCAGGTACTGTGCAGTTATGTGTAAATTTGTAGATTTTTGTTTGGTAGAGATATAAATGATTATACTCAATAGAAAAGATCATCTATTATTTCATTACCCCTAAAACATTAACTCGTTTTGTATCTGATCTAGCAATCTTATTTTAACATTCTGGGTTTTTGTTTTTTGTTTTTCCTTGAAATAACCAGTTCCTCAAATGCTCTTAGAATCAGCTTTACCATCCTACTAATTCTTTCATTAATTAAAATAAAATCTCTGACATGGGTTCATTCTATATTGGTAAGAGGCACATTTTTAACTTTTGAAACTTTTTCTTTGACATCATGATGTGTAGGAGTGAAAAAAATTATAAGTTAATATAGGATCTACAGATAATAAACTAAGTAAAAATTGGATTATTTCATCTTACCCTAAAAGTGTATATATTTTAAGTGGGCCCAAGTATAAAGGAGTTGGTTATTGCGAGAACAGAAAGTACAACCCGGATGGTGTCAGGATGAGGTCTGATGGTTGCTAGAGGCTAGGTATGTAGTGCTAAGGAGTTTGAACTTTTTCCTACAGGAGATGGGAACCACTGGTGTGCCATAAGCTGGAGGAGTGTGATTTTTAAAGATGATTTGACCGCAGTGGGAAATACATACGGCACCAGCTGCAAAACTGTTGTAATGGCCCAGGCAGGCCTCAGAACCTGTGAGGGCGTGAGGGCTTATACCAGAACAGTGATCACAGGGATGGAGAAATAAAGTCAAATTTAAGGTAAAAATTGATAGTGATTGCATTTTGCAGAGGCAAAAGAGTAATGAAGAATGACTCCTAGGTTTCTGGCTTCAATGACTGGGAAAATGGGAGTACTATTAACTGAGACAGGGAACATAGAAAGTGGAATAAGTTGGTGGTGATAGGTTGGAGGGCCTATGACTGGAATAATGGGACTGAGAGGTATTCCTCTTTTATTTTAAATTTTTTTTTGAGGAGTTGCTTTATTTTTATTTTTAAAATATATTTTTATTGATTTCAGAGAGGAAGGGAGAGGGAGAGAGAGAGCTAGAAACATCAATGATGAGGGAGAATCACCTATCGGCTGCCTCCTGCACGCCCCCTACTGGGGATCCAGCCCACTACCCGGGCATGTGCCCTTGACTGGAATGGAACCCGGGACCCTTCAGTCTGCAGGCTGATCCTCTATCCACTGAGACAAACAGGCAGGGCAGGCGAAGTGTTGCTTTTTTAAATGGTCACTATCCCTTTAAGATCCTGCCCTTCCCTCTTAACCCACCCAGGCCCAGCTGGATTTCCGTGCCCCAATTTACTGTCATTGCCAGAGCTTCTGAGCATGCGCTGAAGGCAGAGCTGGACTAACCAACGCTCTCCTGAGGCTCAAGGTATTGCATCTGTGGCTCTCAGCAAAGAGCTCCATTTTGAGAGCACATTTTCCCCATCTAACCATTCTTTTCTCATTTTTTCTCTTAAGTCTTTTCTACCATAATTTTACAGTACCTGTCTCTTTTATAACTCAAGAGTAATGAACATCTGGGGTTTTTTAAATAGTAAAAAAAATTATAACACAATGTTTAGAATAGGGTATCTATCCAATACACAGTTTGGGGGCTATAAGAGGAAAAAAGGTTAGCTTAACTTGGTGAAGTACATAAAGCTTTGAAGCAATTATACTCAATCATTATAGTTTTATCATAAAACCTGCACACCTAACCACTGTGTCCTGTCTTTTGCTTCACAGCAAATGTGGTGTCCCAGAAGTCTCCTGAAACTTGCTGTGCGAGATAATAGACTTCATGTATGTTAAGCGGTGTATCAGATCCTTTGGGAATCAGTGTTGTACACCAGCCTAAATGTACCTGGAGTTTACTGTCTTTTTAAGAAATCTGAAGAATGTTGTTCCTTCTGCAGGAACCTTCATGCTGAGATGACCCTAGATTGTTAGTATGTCACAGCAAGATGCCTTAATGAAGGTAGTCAGAGTGCAGATAACTGCCAACCTTAAACTAATATAAACACAGCAAATACCAAGGGAAAAATCAGATCACAAGGAAGCCAGATTCTGTGGGTAGATTTCTGGGAGGAAGGAGCAAGAAGACAAAGGGAGGAGAAGCAAAAAGAAAATGGACTTAGCAGTGAGATGGACATGTCTCCACCATCTCGCCGCTCAAACTAACAACAATCATTCAAAAGCCATCCCTAAGTTGGTGAAATATATATATTAAAATAGATCGAAGTTTAATGCGGAGAAATAGGCCATTTCTATGTCTCAAACCTTAGCAATAAAAGAGTAGGAATAGAGGTAGGTCTAAAATTCAGGAGTTACAGTAGAGCGATATGAAATATGGGGGAAATTATGTTTGAGTTTAGATGCTAGAGTGTTTTGTTTGCTAAGAGTCCAAATTTACATGTTGTTCAAGAGGCACTGAGCTTAGATAATAGGACATTCATTTAATTCAATAAATTCATTCCTGAGTGCCCAACTTTAATGAAAATGTCAGTGTTGTTGTTGTTGCTGTTATTGCTGGTGTTTCTTACATGGGAGAGTTGTACAACCATGTAATACAGGCCAAAATGGTGAATTTACTATACTCAGGGATCAATACATTGAGGCTGTGATTTGATGGGGTGGATGAAAATGTGCCCTATAGAAGGAGAAATGCCTCAACGCTCCCTATAAATAAAATCTGGATGCTTCTGGAACAGTCTGAACCTCTTTAGTTGGTTGAAGTATTGCACAAAGAGGATGGTAACCTGCGTATCAAGAGTCTTAGCTCCAAATGGACGTTATAAATTAAAACCAGCAATCCACATTGCTTTCAGAAAATAGGAAGCCAAAGTCGATTTCAGAGAATCGAGTCTGCTACACTTGACCTACTCAGTCTCAGAAAGAGGGGTCGCCAATCCTAAACCATTCTGAAACTCCTAAGTATTACAATTCGTTCAACAAAGGCTTGCCGAGCAGTTAGCTCTACTGGGCATTGTTCTACAGCATTAAACCGGCAAGGCCTCTCCCAGTCCCTGGCGCTGCTTGCATTCCAGAGAAGACTTTCTTCTGGGCCACAATACTGGGTGGGATGGGTGGGGCGAGAGCCAGGAGAAGGAGGAGGAGTTGTTGGCTATGGAAATTACACGCTTGCTGCTCTGTTATCTGATCATGAAATCAACCCCAAGTCAACACATAGCAGCCTGAACCAAGTGGATTAGATTATAAAGGAGTCTTTATCATCCATTAAGTCTTCTAAGGGCTCTTGTCCCTGTGTTTATCGGCTGTAAGAAGAATGTAGCCAAATCTTGTCTCCCAATAGTGAAAGCCACTTAGCAGAAAGTTACATGAATGCACAAATTCACAAAGAGAATTGGCATGATTTTCAGACCCAAATGAATCCCTAAGGTGCTGGCATACAGCTATTTGAGTCAAAGGATCATATTACATTTTAAACCATATAAACTCATCTTCTTCTTTAGTCTTCATTTGCATGAGAAAAGTGTCTTATTCTCAGCCAAAGGAGCAAATCAAATCCTCCTGTCAATTTTCTGTTCCAGCACAAGATTGCGAATATTCTGTTTCATTTTCCTCTCCCACCAGGCTGAGATTCTTCCTTTAACCTTTGTTAGTCACAGGACCTTCTGCCAGTCTAATGAAAGCTAATGGTTTATCTCAGGAAAATAAGATGCTGGAGAGGGTGCCCTCATACCCATAGACACTGTTAATGTCATTTTTTTAAAATCACTGAGTCCAACTCCCACATTATAAACATGATAGATTAAGGCTACCGGAGGTTAGATAATATATTTACTGAAAGTCACACCGTTGGCAGAACAACACATAAAACCAAGTTCTCAGAAGTGTGTGGGCTTTTTGTTTGGTCGGTTGGTTGGTTGGTCTTACAATCTGAAACCACTCTCAGGTATAGGCCCTGCCTCTGAACTTTTTTTTATCTGGAAATACTAATATAAAACAACAGTATCTTTGTAACATATTTGTGCTCTGGTTCCTTTGTAAACAGAATAAATAGGTCAGTTTTAGGGTGGGGCTGTCGCTGAAGAGGCACTTCCTGTCTCCCAAGCCAGGACGCTAGTTGGGATATGTAATAACTCAGCAACGTGGCTACAAGCACAGACCCATGAAGAGAGAGTTCTCATCTGTTGTGTCTGAGGCCAAAGAACGGACTAGTGTGGCTTTCCTTTGTGGACTGTTCCTTACTCAACAGCCGTTCTGCCTTTGACCTGAAAAACGGCCACGGAGCTCCTGCCCCGTCAGGCATATTTCTTGTTGGTCTGTGAGAGGGTAGCATATGGCTAATTACCATTTACACCGTCTGAAGTGCTCTAAGGATCCACTAACGGCTGTTTTGTCTCTTTGGTTTACTGTTCTAGCACTTTTTGCAGACAGAGCAGTAAATGGTTTTTTTGGGGGGTGGCTTTTTTTTTTTTTTTGGTTTTCTGGGAGGTCCCTTTTAATTTCAGGTGGTGGAGAGGATGATCTGTGTGGGCTGCTAATGGATTCTCAGCCTGGTGTGTTCAATGACCGTGTTCCTGATGTGTCATTGTCATCACCGTGTCCTCGTGACCAGCTTTCCTTTTCTTCCCTCTCCCTCCCAGGGGAGACATGTTTATGGAGGACAAAATGAAGCGCTAAGGTAAGTGAAAGAAGAGATTTTTCAGAGCAAAATGTCCAAGGCAAAACATGCATTCGTACAGATGAGAATAAAGATATTTGAGTTGTTCTGTGTTTATGTTTTTATTTTTAAAACATACCCTGTTTATTCCCAACTCTGTGTGGTTTTGTGAGCTAAAAATGTGCTCTCTTGCAAGGAGATGAGTGTCTCTTGAAACAACATATAATGGAAAGATTTTTCATTAATTTAGTTTTTAATTTGTTGGGTATTAAAATACAGCTGGTAACTAGACAGCACTTGAGCAGAGAAGTTTTCTATTTGGTGAGTGGCTTGCACAGGGAGTAGGTGTTCTGACCCAGATGTTCTCTTTGAAGCTGGATGGAGCTCTCTGCTGTCCCTGCCAACAGGTGACCAGCTGGCACCAAATATAAGCATGACAGCTTGGGGCACTCAACTGAGACCCACGTTTCTATTTTCCTTCATCCAGGGAATAGCTAAAAACACGACCTCCAATTCTCTTACTGGCATGGGGCAGTGCAGAAATAAACGAGTTTTTAGTTAACGATCCTAAATAAAAATAGGTCCAATCATCTATCATTTTAACATTTCAAGTTGGTAGAAGTGTTTTAGGAACTAAGGTAAGGTATAGACTAAAATTTTGTGGGCCCCATTAGATCTTCACCATATGAACAAACTTTAAAAAGCTAATAATATGGATATTTCAAATTTGAAAATTCAGCCTTGAGATCAGTCAGTGTAAGTATGTTGAACATAAGGGAGACCTATACCTCCTTGAGGGGGATGCGGAGCTAGGTGAGAAGACCCAGGCCTTCTCCTTAGACCCTACATTGCTTGCTTTGACTGAGACTCAACATAGCTATGATAGAGACTTTCACAAATATTTCACATCGCACCTGAACTTTAATGCTTTTAATTAACATTGCTTTTATAGTTTTAAGGGTTCCTTAAAAAGTTCCCTTTGCCCTAACTGGTTTGGCTCAGTGGATAGAGCATTGGCCTGTGGACTGAAGGGTCCAAGGTTCGATTCCAGTCAAGGGCATGTACCTTGGTTGCGGGCACATCCCCAGTGCGGGGTGTGCAGGAGGCAGGGGATCGATGTCTCTCATTGATGTTTCTAACTCTCTATCCCTCTCCCTTCCTCTCTGTAAAAAAATAAATAAAAATATATTTTTTAAAAAAGTTCCCTTAAAGGATGGTGAAAAGGAGAGGGGGGAAGATAATATGGCCAGCAATTATGAGAGGTCTGCCACAATAAGGCTCAGCCCATTAGACCTTAGAGTCAGATGGGCCAACAGGCAGGTGGACCTGACATACCAACCTGTTCTCAACCTGGTCATCCCTCAGCCTTAGCCTGCTGCTCTGTCCTCAGGGACCTAGAAGTCCTGTACTTTTTACCAACAACGTCAGTGTGGGGCAGAAAGGTATCTGGAATTCTGTCACAGTCATGCCTTCCTCCTGCTACCCCCAGCACCTGTCAAGGTAACTTCAGGATTATACATAATGTATAATGTTCCCAGGACAATTCTAAAATACTTCCACACAGGGAAACAAACGTACAAAGTTGCATGAAACAATCTTTTATAGAAAAGAGGCTGCAGGACTGGTTATAGCTTTTGGAGGATTAGTTGGGGGGAAAAGAACTTTTACTATGATTGCTTATCAATTCTTTTTTTATATCTTCCACTTCTCATCAAAGTCATTTTTTCCTTTAAATACATGAGCATATTTATAATAACTTCTGAAGTCCTTGTCTGCTAATCTGCTAATTCTGGTATCTCTTCATTTCTGGGTTATTTCTGTTGACTGATTTTTCTCTTGGTTATAGGTACCAAATTCCTGCTTCTCAACTATAATACTCTATAATAATAAAAGCATAATATGCTAGTTAGACCAGACAACCCTCCAGAGGAAGCCAGGGCTGCGAGGGAAGCCCAGGTCTCGGGTGCCGGAGGAAAGCCGATGCCAGCAGCCGGGGGAAGGAAGGCCTACTCTTGCATGAATTTCATGTATCGGGCCTCTAGTATATCATAATTTCTTATCGAATCCTAGAAATGGTGAGTTTTTATTATTGAGCACCAGATTTTGTTGTCTTAATGGAAGAGTGGTAGACTTTGTTCTAGCAGGCGGTTAATTTACTTGTGCATCCACTTGACCTTCGAAGCTTGTTCTTAAGCTTGGTTGAGGTGGGTTTGGAGTAGTCTTTACCTGAGGACTAACTGAGTCTTCTGCACAGGCATGGCTCCAAGAGCCTTGAGCCTGCTCCAGGTGTTCACAGTAGACTCGTCCCATTTGCCTTTTCTGTATCCTGGAATTGCTTTCTGAGATCACCAATGACTTATCATCCAAAGGATACTTTTCAATGTTCATCTTCCTTGATCATTGGTGGTGGCATTTAACATTGTTAACCACCCCCCCTTCTTGAAACACTTCTGAGATGTCTGTCTCTTGACATCCTCCTTATTTTCCTCTTACTTTCGTAGCTATTTTGCTGGTTCTCCTTCCACCCTTTGAATATTCCTTGAGCTTTTTTTTTTTTCCCCAGCCATCTTCTAACTTTACTCTATAGTCTCTCTTTCTCCAGGGGACCT